TTAATAATCGCCAACTTTCTTAAAGATATTGCAGTCTTCGTGACTATAAAATATCACAAAATAAGTGCGTTGCATTTCCTTACATTGTATTAAATAATGGTGATAATCGATACTTTTTAATTAGTTTATTCACAAAGTAAGATGTTTCTATCATAATTCTCATGCCAGAAAGCTTTTGTAATAATTCATACAGGTTATATTTCCTCGTTCCTCGTATACACAAACGTTAGGAATCTTCAAAAGAAATTTAAACAACTGTTCATCTAATCTATTTTTCACATCATTCACAATTACTATTCAATTTCATGATTCAATATTTGCTTTTAGATGTTGCACAATAACTTAATATCCCCTTTGCATGTTTTCAAATGTCAGATAATCAAAATAATAATCGTAATTCAGACAGCTTCTATTCTATATTCCTTTTCATCTGTAAAATCATAAATTGAGTAAGGCTTTCCCCGTTAAAATTGTCGGATTATAATGTACTTTTAAACACAAACGGTTATCTTTGACTCCCCCTAGAGGGCTGAAAGCAACAATCTATATATTGAATAGACTATCGTTAAAACAAATATTAAATCCCCTGTATTAATTGAAATCTTCAAACCTATCTGAAGAGATAAATTTGAAGATTCAACACGCCTTGTTTTAAAGCTGGCAAAGTGTATTGACACAAAAAATGTTTATGACATGAAATATTTGTTTTTGTATTGAAGAAGTAAAATGGACAACTAAGTAAAAACGACAATTTTTATTTCGAACATTAAGTTTATTTGCTTATATTAGAATATAATGTATTTTATTACTGATTTTTGATTATTTATAGTTTACAAGAATGCGACAATTACCAGTTACATCTTAGAATTGTATTTTTCATCACATTTGATTATGTTTGATCAAAGAAATACTTGTACTAGTCAGTGGTATTTTTTTGACCACATGTTAAGTTTTCACGAACACATAATATTTTTCAGTTTTTTTTAAAACCCCACGAAGTCATTAAAAAATTGACTCAATAATTTGAAAAAAAATAATCCTTGAAAAAATCGTTGAATTTTTTTTTATCATATCTCTAATATGGCGGGTTGGCTTATCAAACAAAACGATTAAGTTGAATCTATGAAGCACTGATAAGCAAACTCATGCTGATACAATAGGTCTTATCCCTTATCCAGCTGATTTTCTTTAGCTTCTACCTTTAGAAACTGTCAAATATTAATTTAATTTCGGGATATCAAAATGAAAATTTTACGTTGGTCTGCCTGCAGTATAGAGCCTGAATCTATTACTGGTGGCGGAGGCTTATCACTTTTAATTCCGTTGTAATGGTTAAATATTGAAAATAAGCAATCATTTTGAATTGCGTTATTGGAGACGAGTGAAGGTGTAATTAATGAAATGTTACCAACGTTACGATGAGTATTGTCAATCGGTCAATGTCATGATTAAGTAATGAAATGTTTTGTTCCGTAATACTTTTAAAGAAGTAAATAAAAGCAATATATTAATGCTTTCTGGCAAGCCGACATCAACACACCAAATAATTCATCAAAAGCTAATAATTCAAGCCATTTTAACCAATAATATACTTATATACAAAAATATATAAAATAGTTTTTACCTTGAAAATCTTTTTCCTTGATGCATACTGTCCAGCATAGGTAGTCTTATCAATTTGAGATCTTTGCATATCTCTTGTATTTATTGTACTATATAAAGAATTTAAAAAACTTTATTCCGATTCAGGCTAAAACCATTCCAAGTTTGATATGCTCGCTACAGTCTTTGCTCACATTTTTCATAAACCACTAACTTTCCATGTCATGTTTTATAAATGATAGGGTGGACCATTTCAAAAACAACGCTTGAAATAATAAAAATGTTGATGAAAATGATAAAGCATCATTTAATTCAATTACACCACCGCTTGGTATAAATTTTTTTAACAACCATCCTTAATCAATCAATAACTGTTATGACACCAATTTATTATTAATTGTGACAGTTTGAAAAAAAATATTGTGAAATTAAAGATCAATTTGATAATGATTCTGAATAAATCAACATCATGACACTACATAGCAATATGACAGTTGTTGGAGATGATATTTTCGATATCAACATAACGATATCAATAATTCAAACAAAAGTTAGCTCCATTAAAGCAGCATTCTCATGCAAAATCTAATTACCAACATTCATTAAACATGCTTCATACATGTATATAGTAGAACTTAAATAATATTTGTGGCAAAGTTACGCTACATGTAGTTAAACAGACAAAATTGAAAATAGTTCAGGCACTGTTTGATTAAGCCTGTTCATGGACGGTACTGGAAAGTGCAAGTTACCGTCCATGCCCACCCTCCCTAGCACCGGCTGAAGTAGAATTCAACATCTAATCAAGATAATGGTGAAATTTTAAATTTTGAAACATCCGAAGATGCGTTCATACGGCGTTCATGGAAATATCACATATTGAAATGTTAAAATATATATCTACTAATTCAATAGCTACCGGTAAATGTTTGCAATCTTTGTATGGCATCTACTAAACAGCAATCGCTTTGAACTATAAAAGCGTTTGATGATGCAATAAAACAACAACTTTATGACATCATAATATGATGATACAAGAAGGTATGAAAGTATTGTATTCAAAATAACTTTTACAGGATTTCTACTGGCCTCTTTTCACTGGGGGTCGAAATTTTCACGATTTCTTACTTTAAAGACAAATATGTACCAAGTATTTGAATCATTAATTTAAACGAACATTATATGTAACTAAGCCCATTAAATCGATGCACTAGTTTTTGTTTAAACTTTTATTTACACTGTACGATTAAGACAAGGATACACAAAAGTCTGTATGGAATACCAGCTTCGCAAGTACATATCATAGGGTCATCGTTACCAAATTTATCACCTTTTGCCCCATGGCTGTCAATATTTTTACAGACAACTCAGATTGGCAGTAAACTATATACATATATAAAACATTTAGCACTAACTATATAACTGAATAGCTTTAAGTAGACATAGCTTAATGGCTGCACCAACAACCTATTATAATTCAGCTTTTCATTTTCATTCAGTCATATGATCAATATAATGGTTTTACATCTATTGTCATTTAATCAAATATCCATTTAAATTTTTAGGCGGTATTCAATTCCAATTTCCTGTAAGAGAAAATTCCCAGCTCAATAACGTACAGAATCCTTTTGTTTAAGGCAAATAGTTTAATAGGTTGTTGCGATGTTTTGTTAAGAATTTCAAGAATCATTGAGTGCATCCCACTACTGGTATTTTATTCTCTTTTATTGACATTACATTTTGGCTGACACGACAGTAGCATTTTTTAGAATTGATAACCCTATTTTAAAACTTGCATGTTTCTATGGCAAAAAAACCTGTTAAACCCGTAATGAGTATGAGGGGGGGGGGGGGGGGGTAAAGGGGGCGAGATCAAATTGTTATGTTAATTTTTACCGAAACATTTTATGTGTCCGCACAATGATCAAAAAAACATGATCTTTATAGAGAATGATACATTGTGTATGGTGTTTTGAACTGTAAATTTAATACCAGTACTATCCTTATTTTTAATTTTATTAATTCAATTTGTGAAATGAAACTTGACAGAATGAATAATTTATCATATAATACTTGCATGACATATGACTATTCGCGTCATTGGTCTGGAAAACGATCGTTTTAAATATGTAAGCATTTGAGAACTATGAGGGAAATGCACTTAAATCGTCAAAAGCAATATCTTTCAAAAGAACATAAACCTTTCAATCTATATCATCAGATGTTTAATCAGACTTTATTTTAATTCCACTGTTTAGGAAGCTGCAAACTTAATTGACACACTTTCGAATAAATGAATAAATTTTTGGATCCAACCAGTACTGCGAGTTTCTTGCTCAAAGATACAGGGGCTTGTCCCTGACGAGATTTGAAGGCCCATCGCGACACGCAATCCCAGAGTTGATTTGTTCAAATATTAATAATTTCTGCATTGTACCTTTTGCGAATCACTACAGTACCAACCATGTTTGTTATATATAGTTTTACTTTCAGCCGTGTATTCTGTATCATTTCAAAAAGGACAGTTAAAGGCCTTTTGTTAAATGTTCTACTGCAAATTAACATCAGTGTTTTTCAGCATCAAAGTAACTTCAATCAGAAAAGTCATAGATGGAGGAATTACTTCATCAGATTTTCGTTAAAATAAAGCATCAAATAGTTGTAATTAGGAGACCTTATAGTAATTGTGTAGATGCGGTGTTGAAAATAATGGTGTGTATGCTATGTTGATAGTAACTGTGTTATTGCTTTAGAATAACTGGAATAGCAAAATCTAAATAATTATAATTTCAAGAAATGTGATTAATTACATTGCTTGTTGTTTACTTTTATTTTAGCACTTGTGCTCTTTTGACACGTTGTTCGTTTTATCAAATGTTCTCCAAACAAAATCATCACACCATTTTACTTTCTAGGTACTCATGTTATGACTGCAATTGAGCATATTGCATATTAATAATGACAAATGACAGTATAACGGTTTATTTGATGTTAAAACGACACAAGTAGACATTATCAGAATAAAACTATCACGAAAATCTTCATCGAAATGTATGGTATTTAAGAAACCAGTGTCTTGTTTCAGACAGAAACTCAGTGATTAAGAAAATAGATGGATAAACAGATAAATATTTTGGTAAAAAGTGCAAAATGTATTTTAAAAAATTAAAACAATCAGGTAATAATACACACATTTTTATTTGCCATGAATTCATAAGAACAAGCATAAAAAGGAAACCTTATTACGTAAATTACGTCGTGCCAAACAAAGACGTCATTCTATACATTGATTAACATAAGTACATGGACACATAGCAAAATATGGATCTTGATATGAAAATCGTTCTGAATCCTATCGAAATAGTGAGGGGAAAAACAGTTTTTAATAGTAATATTACCTTGAGGAGCTTCTTCCGACATGCATATTGCCCAACATAGCTGTTTTTATCCATTGTACCTTTAATTATCTGTGTTGAACAATCCACACTTTTACTGCAATCTGTCTTAGTGGATCGATTGCAGTATAATGTAACGCACAATCAGTTTGTCTAATTATCTAAACCCCTAATGGCATCATATTAACGAATTATTTCTTTTGATAATAAGCCAAACAACGTTTGTCACAACACTCGGCTACTTTAAAGATGTGTATCTTAATGATGTGTACTTTCCACACCGACTTTCCTAAACGATTTCATATTATAAGAATCAAGTCAGTTCTCAATTTTGCTTTCATTTGCACTTTCATTTTCACCTTCTTAATGTGTTATTAATGCAAGATGGTCTAACATGATGTTAAATAATTCAAATTTGATGTTTTAAGATGGTTTTATCGGTTTTTCATCATAGGTGGACAAAAATAGAAAAGCTATTTAACAATAAATTTCGTACAATTGAATTATGAATAAACTTATAGTCATAATGAAATAAGGTAAAATATTTTAGGATCCATCAAAAGTCGATAAATCATAAACTTTCTACCACATTTCACTAAATAAAGGAATTTAAATAATGTATGACATTTGATGGCAAACTAAAAAGAAGGTTAAAATGCCATAAAAGCTTTTGTAGTTCAAACGCGGATTCTTTTTTAATTTATCTGTCCTAACAAGAAACGACTTTTGTTAATACTTTTATGTTGATTAATATCTTTATTGCTAAAAATGATGATATAAGTTATTATTGAATCCTTGGATAACATCGAAAAATGAATAATTTATTTTGATAAACGATTGCCTTGTGTAATATGCAAATGAAATTCGTTTGAAAAGCATGTTTCGAATGACCAAAAAATACGCTTCAGGCTTCATTAAAGTTAAACAAGAACGCCATGAACATCATTACATCAATAGTTTACGAACTAATATTTGAGCCGCGTCACGACAAAACCAACATAATGAGTTTGCGACCAGCATGGATCCAGACCAGCCTGCGCATCCGCGCAGTCTGATCAGGATCAATGCTATTCGCTTTCAGCTTCTATACTTGTTATAGGGTTTGTAAGTGAACAGCATGGATCCTGATCAGACTGCGCGGATGCGCAGGCTGGTCTGGATCCATGCTGGTCGCAAACGCATTTCGTTGGTTTTGTCGTGACGAGGCTCATATTATTTTTATTCTCTCTCATATTATAATGTATGATAACATCACTTTATTTCAGTCGATAAACACAGAATAAGGTAGTGCAGTAAGAAAGAAGTTAACTTGTTTTTGATATATCAGTTCGAAAATGTTCACAAAATATCACAGATACATGTATGTTATAATAGCAATCACGTTTGTGTAAGCAAAAAATGTAACCATGAAAATCACCAATCCATAGACCTTCCATTATTACTAATAAATATCTGTTATTCCATTTTACAACCCCTTATTGCTAATATTCTCATTTCACTAATAAATTATAAATCAACACAACAAAAACAACGATATAAACCTTTTCACTGTTAAAACATAGTTTTGTTCCCTATGTACAATTCTTTTATTTTTTTATCAAAATTAGTTACTATATCTTACTCAATGAGTTATTCTCGCCGAGTGAAACAGACTATCGGTTAAACAAATATGGAAATGTTTTCACGAATTAAAGCTTTGAATAAGTAAAATTGATATGATTGAGGAGTCCATATAACTATTGGATAAGATACAAATCCCAGTACATCGCTGGATATTGACAAATAGATTGTGGTTGTAAGTTACTATTTGAATTTTGAATGATATCTAACGTGGTTACGAAAAGTTCGATCTTTTTGCAATGGTATCATATCATATCAAATAAAGTCAATTTATATTGACTAAATTTCATTAGTATTGCAAAAGTGAAGAGGAAATAATTGGGGTAATAGCATAAATGTCAATTTTTGCGTTTCATCAAAATAATTTTGATAAATTTGATATATTTTTAATATTGTTTTGTACAACATCGTATAGTTTGGACTTTAAAAATATTTTCTGAAATCAGCTGTCTGACCAATTGTTAACATTTTAACAGTTCGGTAAACAGCATCCATAAACTTGAACAGAAACGTTTCTATGAAAATGTATAAGCATTATAAGCTAATTATCTCTTTGACTATACTAGTGCCTGAATACCACGGTTATTAACATATATTTTATGCAAAAACACAATTATTTGAATGCTATGTTTTCTCGCTATTGACTTAAGTTTGCTGGTTAAAAAGAAGTAGTTTATCCTAAATAAAGTATACATATAAAATATTTGTCCAAATTTCTGACTGACTATGAAAAAGTGCACATGAAATTGAACGAAGAGAAAACACGTATGTGGTTGGCAATTTTGCGAAAGATGTATATCATGTCACCATTGATTCTAGTTGCACGTACAGCATTTTTTACCAAATTCATTATAATATTTTGAGAGGGAAAATAAGTAAAATTGTGTTTATTTTAATATACTTGTTTGCAAATTCACTATAAAAAAGTCATTATCTATATAAAACAAGAAGTAGCGTCATGTATCTATGCATGTATATACATCATCTGCACGATTCGATTATTGAAATCTCAAATCTGATAGACTACTGTTAGAACAAATATGACCTTGTATATATTAATCCAAGTTAAGAGATAAGAAAGAAGATCGTAACGGTTTGATGACATGTTAAAGACGGTGGTATTTATAGCCTTTTGGTATGAAATTTTCGACAATTGTGTCATTTTACAATTGTGTTGACTTTTACATAATAGTTCACGATATACGATTTTATAAAAATGTGTGAAGTGTGATGTGCCATATACCAAACTATGAAATTCATGAAACCGACACAAACAGTCAAAAGAATTATCATATGACGGTGGAGAACGTGAATGATATTGCAATTTTACATTTTCTCTCACGAATAAACTCAAACCGACATACTATTATTCTTTCATTGCTTCCGAAAAAACACCCACCTTTTCCAGGTTTTAATTTGTTTTCACTGTAGGTAATTTGCATTGTTTCAAAATGATAGATGTGTCCAATATCAAGTGTCATTACCTTATTTTGTAATGTATTATTGACAAACATTTTTGTTGGTACATCAATCAATATAGAAGATTATTTTGCATATTTAAGATAACGATAGTTTAATTGAATTAGTTTCAAAAGTTTTTGTCAGAATAAAACATCTAACGGAGAAGGGTAAAATCACATAACATACGATCCTCATGCCAAAAAGATGCAAATCATACATGTCGTCTGCCGCGGTAAATTGTGAGAACTTTGCAAGTTCTTCATAACAGTCTATAGAGAAGTATGTATAACTCTTTAGATTCAAAATTTAAGTCAGTCCATAGAATGTATTTGCTTAAAATGAATTTTGTTAAAGTGCACATTAACGAGTATATACCAAATGTTATCTATCTATCTTGCTATGTTAAATGCGTCCTTTGAAATCGAATCGTATATATCTCAATCTAACACCTCATAGTATCAATAAGTTTAACACCAAACGAACTACAAATGTGATAGTAGATAAAAGTATCAACAAGTTTTTAATGAATTGAAAGTTCAAAAAGGCGAAAAGAGATAGGATTTAAAGGCCTGTGTTTCCCGGTGATAGCCTACTACTACAAGTGTATTGTAACTAGCCTTACTGGCATAAACCATTGTTGATTGTTTATAAATATATACAATTTGTTTATTCGTGAATTTAAGGTATCAGCAATACTTTAAACTTTCACCTCGATGATTCTGCATAATGTTTTTGACCTGCTTAAAATTTGAATTGTTATTGTAAAGGACTGAACTATCAAAAAGTCTAAATAGAATGCATGAGGTTAATGAATTAAATAATGAAGTAAAGATAGTCAATGGAAAGACTACTGTTTAATAAGGAGCTCTTACATTTTATCAAGGTTCAAATAATGGAAATCAAACAAAAATGGGTGAGGAAAGTGGTTGAGGTGGGTGGAGCAAAGACAGCAAATACCAAATATCTTTATAAAATGAAAATAAACAAAACTAACAAGACCCTGAAGGACACAATAGTGTACAAAAAGAAAAAAAAAAGAAAAAAAATAGACTAGACTTCTAAAATAATAACTTTTTATTATTTTTTTTTTGTTGAAAGATTTATAAGGCATCATAACTTCCTTTAATGTAATAGATTATTTTCTAATACATTTTATGGTCAAGGATATACACATCGTTTTCCATTTTCATCAAAGTTCCATATTATTCAAATAAAAATCACTTGATCATTGAGAAACAAAGACTTCTAAGAAGTTCAGACGTTCTTTGACCTGAATTAAAGTGATATTATGCTCATTTTTGCATTGTCAAGTTGAGCTGAATTAACTATATTATTCAAAAGATTGATGACCGACCATTATTTCTTATTGAAAAGTGTTAAGAATAAATATAAAATTATCTAAAACATTGAAAAATGTCCGTCTTTTTATAAATTGAATATTACAGGTACATGTCGATGGATATTTACAGACATTTCCTTTGGTCACGTTAATGCAAAGTTAATTTTAAAACTGAAAGGATTTACATGAAAGGTAAACTGTAAACTTATTTTGACTGCCACTTGTTTACTCAATAATGGGCAAAAGGTATCATAAAGGTAGCAAAATGTAAACAAAATAGTATTTGGACTTCCATACAAAATACTTATTCACTATAATTATACCAATTGCCAACAGAGTAAAGAAAGATGAGATAGATCTAGTTTATTTATGTTACAAATGAGTATTTTTTGAAACTGTAACAAGATACCAAAAATCAAAAAATTAGAAAAAAAAAAGAAAAAAAAAGCATTTCTGAGGTATAATTGGCATTTAACCATTTTAAAAGCTAAACACGTTAAAGGCAAGTTTTGTGCTTTAAATAAGTACATTGCATAAGGTTAAATTATGTATTTGATTAGTCTTTATGCAAATGATCATAACCTTTCGCCGGAGAATTATTGCAGCGTTACATGTCTTATATCGTTCCTTCTGATATAAATAAACCTAGTTCAAAGTTTAAAGAATCTCATCAAAACCTTTTTTATATAAGTTTATAGCTCTCTTTAGAGGAAACTATAAAAAGTAAAGTAAAGAAAAGTATATTCTATGCATCAAAAGATCTATTTCAATCACTTTTCTTTCTTAATATATGCCAAAGGGTTTTATAGACTTGAAAAGAAATGATAGCGACTTTGTTGAATTAAACGTATAAATGTCAATAGGATATTTAAAGATTATTTCAAATTTGTTATTGAGCTGTTTATATATGTTTGCATAATACCTGACACGTTATAATTATAACATTTATAACAATTTTATGA